CCACTTTAGCTTTAATCTATTATTGCGAGAGGGATATAACTTGCAAAATAACGAGTCTTTGAATATTCTCATAACTGACGATCCCTATCAGATATTATTCAGTCATTGATCATATCCAGTTCATTATTATAGATAAGTTATATATTGAATGCTCTGTCTTATATGCTTCATTCTGTTAACACAATCATTGATGGTGTATATAACTAATCAATAGATAGATTATGATAACTGCCTGATAACATTTTTTCTCGATATTTTTTGTTATCAAGTAAATAATAAAGAAAGTTATCTCTCAGGTTATAATGTCTGGATATATTGCTCATTACCCGCTCAGATAGCTAGAGAATTAATAATTAGATAAAAATTGTCTGCGGAACAAGACACTTCGTGACTGATAACCTATTGTGATAATGACGGCATAATTATATGTAATTTCCCGATATATTTCTTCTATTACTCCCATACGATATAAATTAGCTATTATAGAAGTAGTTATCACAACTTATACAATGAATTAATAACGAGTTTATAGCGGTAATAGTTAGTCTCTTATTAGAGGTATCAGGAAGATTAATCTTGCGTCAAGGAGATTTCTCAAAATTCGACCACACTAGATCTAGTTATGGAATAATATAATGAAAAATAAAGAATAAATATAACACATTAGTCAACGTATAATAAAGTAAGAAAATACTAATAAAAGATATTTATAATGATTACCTTCCTTAGATGTCCGAAATGTTGCTAATTTTTCTTCCAATTCTTTTACATCTGTATCTGGACAGTAAGTAGTATAAGTTTGGAATATGAGTTAGAGACTCAATATTTTGAATCTTCCTTCGAATGAAGCCGCGATACTACCTATCCTCTCTTTGTTGCAGGACCAATGGGGAGATTGTAAGGATGAGCAAGAACTTTATCTCTAGTTAAAAGAAGGAAGTTTGGACTGGCGACCTAGTTATTTTTAATCGGTTTAATGTCTACATCCCCGAGATATAGCCTCTTTTTATGAATTTTCAGAAAAAGCAAAAACCCGTTAACAAGTTTCGGCATAACCTCATTTCGTCTGGGTCATTAATAATCCGAATTTTTGATCATACATGTGATATTATTGTTCCTTTATAATACTCTAGATTTTGTTGAAAGTTTAATCGCAAAGTTGAGATCATGGCCCAATGTGGAAAAATAAAAACTTATTTATACCAAAGAGGTATAAGTTTTACTAAACCATTAATTCCGTCTTATTTCTAGTTAAAATTGAATATTTTAGTTAAATATTATAATATGGAATTAAGTAAGATTTTAGAAAATAAAATCTCTGTAAGGGCCTATGAAATCATCCATGAAATATTAGAGAATAAACCTCTTTCATTAGAATATTGCCATTTCGATTCTTTAAAAATAGGTTATGATGAAACAATTAAAAGAAGTGGAGCCATATCTCAATGGATAAATAAAAATCCAAGGCTTGATATTAATGATCGTGTTGTAGTTAATATGGTTC